CATCCTTCCGGTATGCTCACATTCGCGGTAATAAGGACCATGGGAGGCAGGTCGCAGAGACCGTATTGAGGAACGTCATGAAAAATCAAAATAATGAATACCGAATGAGTATCGAACGTGCCTCCAGCAGCTGGAAGTTTCAGGACATGGAACCGCAACGCGAATAAGACTTCTCTCACTCGTGGACTCGGTCATGAAAAGTTCATTTTCTCTGAATATTATCACGTCGAGCCCAACTTTGAATTCGTAAAAATCACTCGGGATGTTTGACGTCACGTTCGCAGATCTGAATTCTTGATTCGTCATTCTCACAAGTCGAGGAGAGTTCTGGAGACTCCTCGACCATCACAAATTGATAGCGCTCGCCGGGATGACCCTGAGCGCGCGGAGCGTTGAGAGAATCGGAGTCAATTGATTCGAGTTTTTCCCTCGACCTCGAATCCATTATTCAGCTCGGAAGTCGCTCACCCTCCATCATCCCACTCTGTTTTATTTCCTCTGCCGCCAGTTGGGAAGTCTCGCTCACCGTGAACTCGAGCTCCGTCAGAACAGAGAAAAAAGAGAGAAACGCGAAACGTCCGGGAGGGATTTGTTCTTGAGTTGAGTGCATTTCGCTCAGAGACGTATCTGTTCCGGGTGCGCAAGAGGAAAACGAGCTCGTAAAAAAGCCAAACAAACTGTCTCTCCATCTTCCGGAAGGAGGAACCATGACCGGGCGAGGAGAGGAACAGAACCAATCCGTCAAATCGTTCGAGTTGCTTATGACAAAAACTTCCGCGACAAGAAGATGAGGCCTAATCATCGCTTATCGCTAGAAGCGAGCTCTGAAACCGAGCCGTTGCTCAGTGCCAATATATACGATATTCGTGTGATAAATGTAGCCACGCATCGGTGACATTTATCAACGTAGCTCGACACGCTTCCTTTAGCATTTATTCATCATAGGAGATGATCATTACTCCTACGATGAGCTCTGTAGATCGCGTCCTGTAACTTAGGGCTCGGGGGAGGCAGGTGATGTCTGGTGTGAGGAGTAAGGGGGTGAGCGGGCTATCGCTCGAGGATAATTTCTCACTCCGAGCCCACGACATGGGCTGATATTATGGGAACAATAAGAGAGGGTTTCTTTACACCGGGAAATCACCGAAGCTTTACCTCGACAGGCTAGCGACTGTTACCGCAAACCCCCGATACACCAGGAGTACGGTACAAACGAGGTCAACTATTTACGAGCGTTGTCAACGCGAACGATGTCGAAGCATGTCGACTCACGTACGGTGGCAGCCTGTATGTCCCGTTACGCTCCCTTCTTGTAAAGCTTGGTGGAGGGAACGAGTAGTATTCCATCTTCATAAACACGTTTTACGAGTACAACACGAGGCGGTGACAGGCTTTCTAACGAAATGTTTTTCTAATGTTCCAGGTAAGGCGGAACTTGGCGACAAACCCATTCCGCAGTCCCGTACCAGGTAACGAAAACACTGGCGACTCAATAATACGAGGATGCTCCTCTCCGCAAGAGTTTTTTGAGAAACTGAACGGAATGTGACACACTGAATCACGCGTGCAAATATTATCCTCGATCGAGGTCGACTTTTTTGCAAAGACGACTTGAGTCAAATCTTATTCCCGCCGTACTCCGCTCCCACTCATCATAATCTACTCAATTTTCATTCTATGTTCCTTGCCGATAATAATACGTTAGAGCCAGACTCGACAGACGCATTCGAAGCGACGTGAAGCAACGCTGGAGCAACGTCGAATCTCAAGTTCCGAACCGACCGACTGGTCGGACGAGCCCAGAGTCAGGTCATGTCACAAAGGTCATGAGCTTTTGACTAATTCGTGGGCTTGACTAACAATCTGGCAGGAATCTCCGTTGCTCGTCGAGCGATTCCGAGACCATTCGGGCTGGTTTCACCGGCGCGAAAACCAAGCAAGCTCACGAAGTGTATGCAGGTGTTTGAAAACTCTACGAAATCCGATACCAGGTTGTTCTATAACGAGTCGAGTAAAGATCCGAAGCGAGCTGCCCGTGTCCGGACAGCTGTATGGTAGGACAAGATTGCTCAACACAAGGTCACTGGTCGCGAGTAACTTCGTCAAGAATGCTTGGAATGTGATCCGTAGAATCGCCATGGGATAAGCGGGAGTCGTTGAAACAATTGTTCTACAAGCTGCGCGCTGCTTGCGGGCCGGTGGAGGGCTCTTCAGAGAAGCCAAGTAGTTGTAGCGGGACCTGGGTCGAGGATATAGCGCGGCTCGTGGAAAACCACCTCTTCTACATCTCCTCCCCTTTCTCAGAACCGAAGCGACCCAGATGATCGCAGGCACTACCACTGATCTCTAAAAACCCTTGACTGCATCCGATCGCCCAGGGCTCTCGCGGTGAGGACCCTTGGCGGCGAAATGCGGATGGCGTGCGATCATGCATAGTTTTTTTTGGGCTCGCGCGATCACGCTACCTCGTTATGGTCGTAATTTCATAGCCGTCTAGAAATAGGCTATTAAGAGGTTTGTGATATCTCTGCCGGTATTCTAGGAAGTTCGTTGCGTTCGCGCTCTGTAGTGACGTGCGGTCGGCTCTTACGTCACTGCACCGCAGATTGTCAACAGGATACATAGCCATTCGTTCCTTAAGTTCGCTCAGATGAAAGAGCTCGTCCCGATCTTCCGAATAGATGGGAACTGGATTGGAACCGATCCCTTTTTTTGTAGCATCCACTGCGAGACAAACCAGGGGCTGCCGAAGACGAGGACAAGCGCACCACCTAATTTACTCACTCACAGGGGGGCTACTGATTTATCGCTCCTCGAGAACAAAGACTTTGAGTCAGCAGGAGAGGAGAGAGGCATGAAAATCGTGGAGCAAGCAAACACCGTTCACGCAACTTGTGTTGGAACGTGTCCCACTGAAATGATGGGAGGCTACCGATATCCGTCAAAGAAGCATAACAGGAGCCCCAACTAGCAAACTAGCCGACAAGGGCCAGAATTCGGATACGTGTCTCCATCGCAACTCAAATCAATGCGTAAAAGATTCACGAAGCCGACGAGCCCCGATTCTCGGTAACCCTCCGCGGAGCGCCCCCTCCCTCCTCTTCCTGTCGTCTCTGTGAATTACAGATAAACCTGGGCAAATTATTCTCCTCTCTCCGTGGGAAATAACCTGAAATTCTCTCGGCGGAATCGCTCACGAGGATCAACATTGGAAGAGGCTGGAGCTGAATGCGACTAGGTCCGCGATTCGTTCGCGATGGAGCTGGGTGTTTCTTCTCTTCAACAATTCAATATCGGGACGTCCACTCTGCCTTATCAGTGAATGTCCGCACTCGTTCCCTTATTGCTCTTCGTACTTTTTGAACGACCGCAACAATCCGAGGAAATGATTCTCCTCTGCGTCGGGCAATCTTCCTCCGCCTGGAGTTGGACGAGGAAAATACCTCGAATGACCCTCGCCACGGTTGCCTGGGAACGCAAGGATCAGAGAGATTTTTCCTGGGGGAACTGAGGAAAGGACCTCGGACTCGCGGTCAGGAACTAGTTCGTGGATTTGGACCTGCGTCAAGCCTCCCGCCGAGCCCTTCAGACGAGAACCGAGTTTCAAATATTCACCAGGCCAGCCGGCGTGCACGGAAGAAAGAAAGGACTATATAGCGTCTTGACGGCTTTGGAAGTCTTTGTATAGGCCATTCCATTGATACTCCGTTCTTTGCGAAGAGAAGGAGCCGTTTTGAATACAGAGCGTCCTCGAGAGCTCTTGAAATTAATGACGGTGGTGGAGGAAGCGGCGGAGAGTACGAGCACTTTTATTTCGCCGCTCCCCTTTAACAAGCGCTCGCCAGAGCGGCGGAACTCGTTGCCATCGCTCACTTGTAGTACACGGCGCACCACGGGGGCCGGAGGGGCAGGAACGGCAAACTTTGCGAACTAATTACTAGGGTGAGAAAGGCAGACATCGCCACCCACCATCCCTCGGCTCAACAAACTATCCGAGCCGCAAGGAAGCTCGAGAGCCAGAGCTCATCGAAAGCAAAATGAGCTCCAAAGCCTTCACTCTTCGACGTTACGTCCTTGAGAAGTTTACACTCAGACTCGAGAAGTTCATCCTCATGGATACCTTGGAACCCCAAGCTCATGCCCATTGAGGGGGTGAGTCTCAAGTCGAGACTATTATTCAAGACCTAAACCGCAGTCGATGCTCACGAGAGCGATTCGAGATCCGAGATCGCAAGCGATTGAGGTTGGTGAAGACAGGATGATAAATTATCCTCCGTGAAAGTGCTTGAGTCAATGACGCGGGAAATCGTCGCAGCCTACGGTTCACCGACTCTGGTAAAAGCTCGATAAAAAGCTTTCCGAAAGTTTTCGCAACATACAACAGTCCTTCCTCGGAGGACGAGGAAAAACTCGGAACATGTCCAAGAACTGTGAGCCCAGAGCTTGTTCTTCTATGATCTTCCTCTGTCTTTTGGAATTGCTCATTCCCCTCAATGACCTGAGCCGAGGGAAGGCTCCCAAGCCCTCAGCCCATGCTCCGGATCCTGCGAGATAGTTCCCCTTATATCCAGCCGTGAGCCATGAGTTCTGAAAGGGTTTACGCAAGCTTCACGGCAGCGGCCTCGAGAGCTCTCCGGTAACGAGCCGTGCGGAAGGTCCCTATGTCAGGCTCCTCGGTGGTCTGAGCTGCGATTCTCCGCTCTCTTTTCCCCCCTTCTATAAAACTTCCAGCCCCCACAGGCGTCTCCTGAGGAGCACGTCTCCGAGAATCGCGGACGCTGCAGCATCGGATCTTTTGGAGAACTTATCAGTTCATCATTAACGCCGAGTTCGATTTGCCTTCAGTCGCCTTGAGACTGAGTGGGATACCTCATGGATTTCAGTTAGGTGATTGAAAGGGAGGTGGTGAAATTCCTGGGGACATTTGACGGATGTCCCCAAGCCTCGAACATGACGAATTCAGAATGTTTTTTTTCTCAATTCCTACAAGAGACCTGTCGTTAAGTTATATATCAAAAGCATTTATTCGCCATTCATACAAATCCTACATCTAAGGGGTAGCAGAGCACTACGCTAAGGCCAGACTTGAATGAATCAGGAAACCTAAAATCCAGAGTGCTTTGCGAGACCCCGGATCGGGACACTTTCGGTTGTGTCGAGCGCTCCTTGGGAATCTCCCCGATCGCTCACTTCCTCCCGACCTTCTTAAGATCAAAGTTATCTCCGGAGATGTTCAGCATCAAAGCCTGAGCGTCGAGGTAAACACGGTTCTGGCTCTGGGAGATTGTCTTAGCGATACTTTGTGCAGCTCGGAACTTCCTCAGCTGCAAGTAGCCCGGATTCGTCGTGATAGCTTCACCGATGAGTTTGGCAGCGGCGGCTTCTCCTTCAGCGTGGACGATCTTCTGCTGACGTTCCTGTTTAGCCTGTTCGACGGTGAAAGCCGCTCTCTGGGCGTCTTGCTGCGCTACTTGTTTCGCTTCGACAGCAGCTGTGTACTCCCGGCCGAACGATAGCTCCGTGATGGCAGCGTCGTCGAGAATGATGTTGAAATCGCGAGCGCGTTCCGTCAACTCCTTGCGGATCAGCATCGAAACCTGAAAGACGGAGTTCTCGATCAGTGGATGAGCTATTGATCCCCGAAACCATTCGGACGTGTCCCGAAGGATCCTCCGCTTCCATCCGGCGAGCTGATGCAATTCATGAGCTTCTTCGTCCGGGAAAACGGGTCACGAGGCTTCTCCTCAGCGGAGGATTTCCCGAGATGAATTACCTCTACCTCCGACACTTCAATATCTGATACTACTGCGCACTCACCTGCTGTCTCATCGTGATGAGCTGAGAGGCGTTGAACTTGGCCACCACCGACTTCAGAACTTCGTTACAGATTGAGGGGAGCACCCGCTCATCATAGTCTTGACCCAGTGTACGGTACATCGTGGGTAGGCTTGAAGCATCGGGTCGGGACAGAACACGGAGACCGATGTTCACCATTTGCAAGTCCTTCGATCCGGTCGGGGACGAGATCTTTCTCGGCTTACTACGGATATCGTAGATTATCGGATACTGAATCCATGGGATTCGGAAATGAAGTCCCTCAGGGTAGATCTCATCTTTCACACCTCCGACTCTTGAGAAGATGATCGCGCGATGACCACCTTCAACTGTATACACGGATTGACTCAATCCGTACGCGAGACCGCCGGCAGCAGCAAGAAGTTTCAGGCTTCTCGGCGTTCCGCCACCATGAGACATCTGATCGGCCATTTTCTTGAACTTGTCCGCCATTTCGCACGCGCAACTGTTGAACTCGAAGGCAATTAGCAGTCGAAAGGACTCTCTGAGAATTTGCGAACCGGCGAAACTCACAAACGCGCACAACACACCACGAGGGTTGTTAAACGCTGAGAATAGGGAGGCACTAAGAGCTGAGCGGGCGGCCGCTTCGCTCAAAACGAGAGATCACTCCGCGGTACGGTGCCTCTACCTACGAGAACAGGCCGCGCCCGAGGTCACCACAGATTCCTTGTTGCCGGCGCAGCGCACGTCGTGTGCTCAGGGAAAGACACAGCATCTTCTGATTTTACTTCCAATTTTATTATCGACTCGATTAGGTAACGTAATGTCGCGAGCCCGATTCGCGGATGATTTCCGCGCGGAGAACAACAAGATCCCGGAACTGGTTCAGCATTTAATTGACTTTCAGGTTCAAACAGGAATCGCGCTAACAGACAGGATCGCGCAGAGTACGCTTTCCTAGTCTCGATTCCTAGTGCTCGATATTGCTGTGAAAGGCACTCCGTGCATCGGGATCTATATTAACATTTCATCGTCACGGCCTCTTTTTCACAATTTGTTAGGAGATCTGCGCTTGGGATCTTCGACTTGGCGAGACTACAGGTTGAATCATTTCTCGACCAAATCGAAATTAGAAGACACTCGGAGTACATTATTCGTCATTTGCGATTAAGAACGGAGAACTCTTCAACTCTTTTCATCCATCCATCGAACCATGGCGTTGCTCCGACACGATGCCCTTAAAGAGACCCACGAGTTTGTGAACAATGACGTTCGGAAGTGAAGCGTGAGCCCTTATGCCGTAATCGGGAAGGCGAAACGGAGACCGTTCCGATAGGTTCGGAGAACGAAGCCAGACTCCATGGTCTCCAATCACGAGATCCCGCAGCAATGTTCATACCTCGATGCTAATTAAGCGGCATATGTGCGATTCGGATTACATGAGCAACTTAAATTATCAGACCGTGAGATCATCGAGCGAGTGACCAGCATTACCTCCTGCTTGATCTCTCGAACGCTTTCTTGGGCTCTTCAGGACTCGAACCGAATTTGATCCACTCCATTCTGCACACTTGGAGCGATCTGGAAAGGAAAGCTCTGCATAAGGGAATCGTCGACTTCATGCCTGCGGTTCGGCTCGAGTATTCGAAATACCGCGAAGTTCTTACACGAAGTTCCAGGTCTTCGATAGAAAATAAATGTCGAGAATCGCTCGAGTTATGTTCAACGAGGCGTTCGGAAACGTGGAACCTCAGCGATCTCGAGGCACTCACGAAACAACCGAAAATTGCGTCTTTCCCAAGGGGGATGGCTCTACCAGAGGGCCGAATGATCTCGAATGAAAGCGCTGATTATGAGATGGCTCGCTATCGAGGCAATACCGTCAGATTCGAAGACAGGAGCTTCCCGTCTTTCATTGCACATAGATGCGAAACCGGGGACGCTGAGTAGCTGTCACGAATTCCTCCGCAAAAAGTCGCTCCGCATCGGGCCTCCAGTGAGTTCGAGGCCGATCGATTCGAGGAGCGCTCGGCGCTTTCTGAGGCGCACAACACAATCCGCTTTAAGTTCATCGAGTTCGAGCTTTCGGAGATAAATACCGCCTACGCACTCATTCGGTGAACTACTTTTTAGCCTAAAAGAAACTTGCCTCACTAGTCTTAAAAATCTTCTCCAAAGTTGTACCCGCGATAGCCGAGTGGAAATGGCCGGTACAACTGGTCGACTCATCTCCACTTGACTGCTGCTGATTCTCCGACCGCATTGGCGCTCCGTGGATACAACCAGCTCTGAACATAATTTCACACGCATTTATTTTAGAGGGGGATTCCGATCCCCCGACTTATATGTGAACCGCGAACTCCAATCTAGATTCGGAAACTTGCTTTGGGGTGGAAGATACGGCATCTGCCGGATTTCTCGGAATCTGTACGGTGGCGGCGGACGACGATGTGTCCATTGTGTCCTCGTCGGGTTGCGAGGGCGCTTCACTATCGTCGAAACTCGAGTCCCGTATGTAAGGCGGCGGAGTCCGGAAGGAAGAACGCATCGAGAACGATTTTTCGGTGATTTTCTTTCGATTTGCCACCACGACCTTCCTATTGGCCGTGCCAAGGGCTTGATACAGGGCGTCGAGGTCCACGATACGTTGACTGGGTGACGTCTGAGCGCAAGAAGGAATAAGGAAGTAGGTCGATGAAATTAGGAAGGTACAACTATGGGAAAACTATACCGAGGCTGATCAGGAATCTTCCACTTACCAGTAGGCCCGTCCTGACTAGGGAAGCTAGCGGCTCCGGCACTTGCGGAGACAACTCGAGGCTTTTCTTGGACCCGACGACGAGTTTAAATACGCTCTCGACGTCCTTGTCCTCCCAGGGAATACCTCCACTGAAAGCCTCCCAGACGAGAACAGACATTCCGTAGACATCCGATTGTTTGACCGGAACACATTTACCGAGAATTTCCGGCGCAAGCCAATGGTAATAATATTCCTGTATGGCCTCGTGGGTTATGGAGAACTTGTGTGATTCATGAGATCTGTTCTCGTTGACCATGTACTCGAAGCCGCCTAGCTTCGCCTGGTACGGTGAAGTTATGGAAACAATGTGCGGATTTAGGCAGCTGTGAATGAAGCCCGAGTTGTGTACGAAGAGCACGGCTTCGCAAGTCTGTTGGAGGAAAAGGAGCAAGTTCTCTGAAAGAAGAAGAGGCTCTTGCATTAAACATAGTGCTCCTTCATGTAGATGGGTCAACACCGGGGCTCAGAAGCCCAGAGGCTAGATTCGCACCGGCGAACAGCTACTCAAGTATGCACCCTTTCATTAATCCATCGCTTACCAGTGGTCAGCTGAGGATAGTCTTTCGAGTGTAGCACGTTGTACAGGCTTCCGAAATGAATAGCTTCGTACACAATGTAGGCATCTTCCATGTTCTGTATGGGAGATACGGCCAGCGGCCACAGATAATTCGGGTGCACGCTCAGTTTCCGGAGGTTTTCTATTTCTTGTAGAATTATGTCGCTCCTGAATCCCTTGCACACGAACGAGTTCACGGTCGAACGTTTCGCGGTCACTTTCATATTGCCCCAGTACATCGTTTGGAAGACGGTCATCGGTCCGGCCCATGCCGTGCGCGCGTCATCCGCTATGAACAAGAGAGTAGACGACACCTGCTGGATGTGGGTCGGAACCCCGACCGCTGATCCGTGCTGGTAGACACATCCGAAGCCGCCATCCGTGACCAGTCTCTCGGTGCACCACTCCTTCCGCTGACTTCCTGTAACCGAAGAGGGAACAACACACAGTGAATACGAGTGTGGCCACGAAAATACATATATTCGACGAGCATAGGGGTCTTCCGGCGGTCCCGCCCCCTCGATGGGAATAAATTGTTGAATAAGGGATGGAATGTCCGACCGCATGGACGGCTAGACGGCGGTCGATTCTCACCAGTTGACAAACGCCGTTTCAACGATGAGAGGCCATCAGCCGAGTGTGTTGTGCGTTCGCCGTGGCCGTCTTGGAGTCGGAATGCTTTTGATCTCTTCCGAGATATGAAGGTCAGAACTTTGGATCTCTTCTGTTTGTCTTGACAGTCGTATGTGTACTCGTAGGGCGTCCGCCCCTCGTCGTCTCGGAGCCGGAGATCGCCTCCGCATTCGACAAGACACTGCAATATGGAAAGATGGCCTTGTCGACAGGCGCAGTGCAGAGCACTCATCCCGCCGAGACATCTGGTGTTGGGGTTGGCTCCGCGAGCGAGCAAGAATTGCACAGATTCGATTTGGCCTGCAAATAATGACCGGGATGAGGTCTCGGGCGGATACGCCACTGAGATCACCGAGGAGACAGAGTACTCGCTCCCAGCAATTTCTCCGCAGTGATTGTTTTTCCACCGGATCTCACTCTTCGGAAACATAGCAAGAACAAAGTAATCATACGACAAGAATATTCGCGTGAAGTCTTGTCCGATGGTCGTCGCTGATTCGAGCGAGAACAGCTGCCGCAGCTCACGACGAGTCTAGATTCTCAAATTGAACGGGGTGCGGAATTGAAAAGAAAACGTTATTTACCCGATTCCACAGCTAGGTACAGCGACGTGAAGCCTCCGACCACTGAATCAATATTGTAACCTTCGTTGAGCAGTCTTTCGAGAATCTTGATCTTGTTTGCCTTTGCTGCGTCGTGCAGTTTGTGTCCTGCCATTTTCTCCCACAGGTAGGTTGTCACTCTCACAATGAAAAAAAATTCTGCTCCGATTCAGCAAGCGGCAGCGCGCCACCATCGGCGAAGGCGCGTTCAATTTGAGAGTGTTATGCTATTGTTTATTTCACTGCTAGAGGAAGAGAGAGAGCGCGCGGCCGTACACATGTGCTGTGTTTCAAAATAGCGCGCGTTCCTCCTCTCCCCACCCACGAGAGTTTCCGCCGCAAGTGTGACTGACGAGAGCACGGATGGATTTTACGAGGAGCCCACGAGACTGTGTCTGAGCCACTCAGCCACAGGCGAACACACGATCCGTACAATATCGCACTACCCGGCGGTCATGGGGGCGGCTACTCACGACTTCAGAGATATTCGTCGGCAACTGAGTAGCTTGAAATGGACCGATCGTCAGAATCTGCGATGGGACAAGGGAGTTCCCTGTAGGTTTCATCGATCTCAACCCGAAAACAAATGAACTCACCTCGGCTCCGGACGCGACTACGACCGGAATCGTAGCGCCAGACAGTCCTTGTCTATTGGTCACGAAACTCCATGTGAATTTTCGAAGGACCCTATTCGATGCATCCCGAATCCAGCGAAATCAGGAGATCAATTCTTTATCGCGATACCCCTAGAACCTTCAAACGTCGACGAGATCGACGATCATATCGGACCGTTGACGCGGAGCTCTCGCTGTTCGTGATCGCTGTTCCGTGTAGAGACGTGCGGATGCGACGTTCGGCAACTCGCCGGAATCTGTCACGTATAATTCTCACGCAGTTGTTACGTATTTTCATTGCCGTAACGGATAGTCGTACCGTGATTCTCTCCCGAAGTCAAATCACCCACGACATGAGGAAAGGGAAAGTCTCGGACCCTTACCGTCAACCGACGGTTCCGTTACCCAAAGTTCACCGGAGCATCAAATCCAGAAGAAACGTCGCGGAAGGCTGTATAATTCTTGGGTGAATTACTCGAAAATCTCCAAAAGTGAAATCGAACTTGGTGCCAGTGTGTAGGAAGGTGAATTCCACTGATTCCGAGATGTGACGGCCTGGAGTTCCCTCTATCGGATCCATATCCACAGATTTGAGACTTCTCTCGAGAGAGCGGTGCGACCGCGGCAACCTGTTTCTCACTCAGAAGAGCCGAGCCGTAGGTGAGAACCGATTCTGCCCAAGACGAAGTTGAAACGACCCCCGAGGAGTAGAGAATGCTTCTAGTATTCGCCGAGCTGTGCTAATTGATAGATAGATAGGTAAATACCAAGACACCCGATGTCTCGGAGATGCTCACTTGCGTGCCTCTAGATGCACGATTGATCGGTCGAATTTCCCTCCCCCCCTGACCTCGATCAGGCCTGAGAGGGGCGGTGATTTCACGGGGCGATCGAAGAGTGAATTCGAATCGCAGCGGATGAAAGAAGTCGTAATTCACCCTGGCCGTCTGGATATACTTTGCCGGTTGGGGATTAGGACGGACGAATGTCCGAAATGAATCCAGATCTGGGGTGCAATTTATGATGATTATTATCTATTGATGATAGAGAAGACTCGGATCTCTCCGCGGGCCTTCGGATTTTGAACAATAATAAGAGTTCCTGTAGTCTCTACCGAGTGGCTGATAGGGTTCGGGGACTGAAGTAGTGAATCGCCGCGATTGCTACCTCCGACGCCGCGCAACCTCGATAAGTGGGGCCGCGCGTTGGCTACCACATCGTCTCGCACCTTAGAAGGCTCCTCAATCGGATTCCAACTATGCGCTAGGGAGGCTCGTTTTCTGGTCGCTGCTTGCGGAGATGCCACTCAAATGCCGAAACATTGCCGTAATCGGGGCCAAGCGCTCATCTCATGGCCCAACTCCCACACGTTGATAACGCTGGTTGGTGGGCTCGATGTGCGGGAGGGCATACACTCCGTCTAACACAAGTCGGACATCTAAGATATTTGCGCTTATCCGGTTCGTCTTCGGAACCGCCACCGTTTAAAGGCTGAAAGTATTATTTTTTCGGGAGATCATTTTTATTCTGGGCTCCACCGTTTTTTTTTACGTGGGTGGATCCGCATTTTTTTATTATCTTCTTCTACGCCTGTTTTTTGGAATTCTTATCCTTTCGCTTCGGACGCGGAAAGGGCGCAGAATACGTACGGCATCGTCATTTCCTTGTTTCCATTGTCTCGATTGGGAATATTTCCACGGGGATGTTACTTGACTGTCGAAGATATAAGTTCGAGCGCCCTTATCGAAGACTCGCCCTTCTGCTAAGATTTATCGATTCTTCGCTGATCCCGCGCGGGCAACACCGCGGGACTCTTTTAATGAAGTCTGCCGTCGTGGACGCATTGGAACAGAGTTGAGATTGAATCAAGAGGGATGGACTTCTAACAAATGCCTACTGATGGTCAGAAGATCAGAAGATCGACCCTTCGGACGCCTCCTCGCCCATCCGGGGACGATATTGCGGAACTTGGCTAAAGCTACAAAAATCAATGTCAAAACGGATGGAAGGATCGTGGTATATTCACTTACCTATATTTGTTTAGATCATAATCGATGCATACACACCCCGCGATTGAGATCTATCAATCGAATGGTCGATTCTGTGAGGCGCGGTGTTTCGGCCAGCCCCTCCGGTCACCATTATTTCATCAAGTGAAGTCGCCTTGGCAGACACAGATGCCATTCAATGCACGCCTGCTCGCTGTTCATACATGGATGCCTCAACATTCACGCCTTAACTCGCGCATCTGTGTAGAGTTGGTGTGACCGGATCAGACTCGATCATCGATCGTTCGGATCCATTACGGTCTCGCTGGTTGAATTTTTCCGAGTCAGTGGGGAGGAGTGGGTGCTTGCGCGAGGTCTTCCGAAGGTGACCCCTGCGAGAATCTTCACGGGTACCTTGACGGACACCCTATCGGACAGCCCCGCTGAACCCCATGTGCCGCAGGAAATGAACCGAGCGGTGGTAGATTCGCCGTAGCCGCGGAAGTGAGGCCCGCGGTCACACGCTCGCTGCCTTACGCCGAGGGAGCCGAGCCGACGATCTGGACGGGTTGGGAAATGAATCTGACACCAGAGGGTCTCTGTAGAATCACGATGCTTCGTCCACCGAGCCTCCTCTTTGCGAAAGAGGGATTGTCCGGGCCGCATGATGTCGGTTGGGGCGCCAACGTCAGTCAATCTAAACTCACGAATTTACGGAGACCGTATTTTCCACAATGAGAGGGACAAGAGCGACTGAGTGCTGGATGAGCGTTACTCTGTTCTCCGGAAAACGGAATACGCGCCAATCTCATAGACCATAGACAGATTTCGCATTATCCACCACCAGAATCGGGTTCTGAATCCGATTATCGTCACGACCGGGTACGAGCCTGGCTGCCTACTCATTCTTCGTGTTCCGCGGTGCTTGATTTCTCTTGACTAACACAAGCTTAGAAGATTCCACGTTTCGCCGAGAATAGAGACCGACCGCCGAACAAACACGCTTGTCATGGACCGTCAACAGCGGCGGCGGCCGTCACAAGCCCAGGCACAAGAGAACGTAGCCGCGAGCAAGAAAGTACCACCAACACCTCCGCATTCTTGGATCGTGCGTGACTTTGCTTCGGTTCATCGGCTTCTGGTGCCTCTCGGGCCATAGAAAGTTCTGAAAGAAATCGACTCACGTGCTAATTGAGCTCAATGGGCTAAAAAATATCTGAAGGTTGTCCGCTGAGGACGTCCTGGATTGATTTCGAATTCCACCTGCTAGCTGAAGAGGCCTAAATTGTAGAAAGCGATTTTCAGTGTGCCGAGGAGTAAATCCGATCCTGCTGCTCCGCTGGGTCCGATCTCATAATCTCCTTGATGGCTCGCGAGATGTCTTGATTCAAAATCCCAGGCCCTCTTTCTCAACTGAGACACTCGGTTTTCTACCTGTCTGTCTCGTTCCTCGTCACGGAGGTCAGTGAACTTCGGGAACGGCTCGATTACGAAGTCAGATTCCGAATTCAGAATAAGACGAGCGGAGGTAGCGCACTGAGATATCAAACGTCAACCTCCCCGCGGGAAAACGCAGAAAGCAAATTCGAAGCGACATGGCCCAAGCGAACGTTTTCTCCCTTGATGAAGTGGGAGTCTTTTCTTCTGCCCAGAAAGCATGGTCAAAGAAATGCGAGATTCTCAACCCTGGTCCATCGATTCGAACAGCAAAATACAGGGACACTCATTCTGCCCCAGGCCGGAGAAAAAGCCTTGCCAAGACAACACGCGAGTCACGTAATGAGAGTCTAAAGCAAAGTCGTCATAGAGCCACGTGACTTGAGCAGAAACTGTCCTCCCCCGACCTGTTGATCGTATTCGTAAAGTACTGTGGAGCGAACATTCGAATCCGACAAACTCCCTGCGTTTTTATTCAAATCTGATCCTCAAGGTCCCGTCACGGGCTCTGACGTCCAAAACCGAGGAAGTGTCGGCCGCTCTCTTCCCGGTCCCTCCTCGACGCAATGCGGACATTAGGGAGCCCAACCTCGCTGCGCGGATTTTCAGGATGAGTTGTTCCTTAATTTTCTCTCTAAGCCCCGAACTCATGCATCCGTTGATGTGCGCCCGGGGAACGTTTTGAGCTTTTCCCTGAGCCGCGAGCAAGCGAAAGCGCACGGGCGCATGCGATCCCCTGTCGCTCGCGAGCACTTCAGTGACGTCGCGAACAACGCACAAAGCGTAAACGCCGGAAGATCACAGCCCAGTCGGAAGGACAGATCGGGATCGCTCTACTCGTCGTTACAGAACACGATTGATGCGACGACACATCTGATTCCCGTCTGCTCTCTTTGATGACGTCGGCCGTTCGCGTATGGTTCGCGTACGCTTCCGGACCGTATTCCGTTCGCGGCTTTCTTTTGGAAGCGCTTTAGCGAAGATTTAACGCCGGAGCGCGGGAACAGAAACGGCAGCGGTAGCTCAGCGCTCGCGCTTCATTCATTGCGTCCGTCGCTCATCGCCGCTCTTCGCCTCGTCTTCTCGGTTTTCGCTGTGGGGCGTGAAAACGTATGCCTTGATCGGCGGTATCCTGACCAAGTGGAGAAAGTCACTTCGTTGATTGATGCCCTCCTCGATGACGTATTCGCTGAATCCTCAGATAAGACTGCCGTTCTGGTCCAGGTGTGCGACATGTAGGCAGAATATATAGCCGCTCGGAAGATCTGGTATTCTGTCCGGGTGGACAGAATCGAATCGAGTGAAAGCTCCGATGAGGCCGTTGTGAGCAATTCAGATTTATTTTCGTGAAGCTTCGCCCAAACGCCCGCACTATGGTCATACGGTCAGATCGTGGCTTTCTAACCACCTCCGCAGAAGTTGCCGCTTGGTACTTCTCCGCTTTGTGGGAGTGAAGACGAGCCGGTCGCGAACACAGCTTACAGAACCAGGTCCACCACTATGATTCCTGGATCGGGAACTCGATCTGATCCTCTCAAGTCAGACAGTCGGTCGGTCAGAATAAAGAATTCGCGAGGCTGGACGACACGGAGCGGATTTGAAAGAATACAAAGATCGCGATTCTTCGCACTTCTGTTCTTCTGATCGTCCCGAATGAGCGGAAACGTTGTTCGTATGAATATGAGATTCTAGGTGATTCCCGTCTCGCCCCGGGATGGCTCACAAAGCAAGAAGATATCATAGCGTGTAGCTTCCGGAAAACGCTATATATACGCCACGCTATATATACTGTTTATCCAAGAATGATAGTTGTTGCCCGAACAAGACGAGACGTGCCATAATTTCGGCTCGGGGTTCTAACTCCTGATTGGAGACTCACAGAGAAGAATGTCGGGAACTTCCTTGTTCGTAGAGCCCTGAACCCCTCTACGGTGTCTGAGGGGTCGAATTCTTTCATGCATTCGCCCTCTCTAATTTTTTTCTTCTCTCCATTTCAGGCTCAATGGCCCCGAGCTCCGAGGTGGGCTCGCCCGCCTGTGGCCCGGGAGCCCGTAGCTCATCACCTTCGTATTATCCCCGTCCTCGGAATGAAGTCGCGATCCGACGCACGGCTTCGCGTCTGTATCGGAGACGTCATAGAGAAAACCTCGAGAGAGAAGCAGTAGATCCGAGTCAATCGAAGAAGAAATCGAGAGCTAATCGATTAGGAATCAGCTTTAAATTCAACGGGAGGTCGAGGTTCGTTCATTGAGTCGTAGAAAATTCTCAAGTCGAGAATCTCGCTTCTTGTTTAGCTGAGGGGGGATTGGCTCATGGTCCGACCGAATTCCCGACGAGAGTCGCGGGGCGTCTATGCTTGTGTGGGACCATCGCCAGCGGTGGGGTGAGGGGGTATTGAGAGTGGAACGAAGAATAATATTGGAGTAAGCCCATATCAGAGGGTGGGCTTGGGGAAGACTGTTGCGATTTCCACACAGAGCCCCCAGATCAGAATAAAGAGTCAGAACAATGAACTTCTCTTGCGAATATTCTGCGCAAGGAATCTCGGATGCATACCCCTGGGAACGGTTGTGTTCTGATCGACCCTTCCGGTGCGTGCGCGCTCGAAAATCTGGATTTCGCAGCATTCCTTCGGACGCTCAAAGTTTCCAATGCATATGAGAGAGCGGGTTTTATGCATGAGTTTTGTCCCAATTGTATGCTTCCATTTCGACTGACGTGGCATCCTTTGTATCTCCATCGCCAGGTCGCTTCAGCGGGGTACCGTGCCGTCAATAAACGACGATCCTGAATCTCTCCAGCTCATCGGATTCAGGAGGGTGAAAGCTAGATCTCACTCTGCTGAGGACTCGAGCCCTTCGAGGAGCATATCATCTGAAGATAGCGGCAGAGATCAAGAAGAGCTTGAGGAGAAGCCAGCCGTCCATCAGAACGAAATGGAGCGACAGGAGAGCTTTCGGAAACTAGTCAAGGATTCCCGTGAATGGTTAAGGTTTGTTTCTCTATTTTGCTCGCCTGAGAGAGAGCGTAGTCATCGTGGGACGCCCCGCTCTGAAAGGTTCATGGGGTACGATACGGCACAATTTTTCGGATGGCCTCAAAGAACTGCGGAATCGAAATATGATGGGGATACGAATTTCGATTCCACGTTGCTTAGAGAGCAAAAGCAGTGGTCTTCGGAGAGCAGATGTTCTTCCAATAATTGCCCCTCATCGCTCCATGCCTTTATTCGAGCAAAAGGAATCAAGCTCGGAATTCCGCGCACGGAGAGATTCCCTCTCAAGTTTCGAATCTCAATCGTCTCGGACCAGGAGGCATTACTCGAATAATTCGGGGAGGAGGAGAACCGATAATTCTGTTGCAACCCGGTGATTTTCACGAAGGATCACCGCGAAAGGGATGATGATCCAAGCGAGAAAGATTCCCATGCTTCTGAGTCGGATATCGGAGTCTAAACGGGAAATTCTCGGAGTTCAAAATCCAATTTCTGGCATCATGCCGATACATTGTGTTTTAGTATTCTCATCCCGCTAGCTTTCGGAGCAGTGTGCAGCAGCTGGTCCGGATTCGGAAGTTTTCGGCTCATCGACCGGAGCCAATAGGAGCATCGATGTGGATGCCCTTGAGTTAATAAAGTTGAGTTTCAGGTCCGGGATTAGCGATGGAGAGCTCTGGAGCCCATCGGAACAGATGGGGAAATTCTTCGAAGAAGCTCAAACCAAATCCAGCGAATCATCCAACGAAGAGTTCGCTGAGTTCATACAGCGCAACCGAGAATCATTCAATAGGTGAGATTCCAGTTTAGGGGTGAGAATCGTTCTCTCTCTCGGTTGACTTGAAAATCTCAGTCTATGCTTACGGCGGTGCGGAGGCTGTTCGAGGAATGCGACTTCATTAGTTCCGAGCTGAGCCAGGACGATCGAAGAAAAAAGACATGGGATTCTCAATCGCGTCGGAAATCTTTCCAGACTTCTCGAGACGCGAGCTTCTGGCACGAAACGCCTCGTGGATCGAGACAGCGGGATCTTCACCGAGCAGGAAGTTCAAACTGGTTCTGCCTCTTCGTCTTCGACGAACTCGAGTTCACGATCGTCGCAAGCCTTCCAACGGCACATAAGAATGGTCAAGTCCACCTCACATGACGCACACGAACAGTCTGTTCACAAGGTATGTTGTTCGATCTTCTTCCCGTCTCCGATGGCAATGACGACCGAGATGACCTCTAAAACAAATCAATCAATCCCTTTATTCCGCCGGAGCCGAGACTGGAACATTATTGCGAATTTAATCGTGACCTTATCGGGCAAGCTTCGTCCTGTGTCTCGCTCGCTCACGGAGAACGACAAAAATGTTATTTCCATGTTCGTGTCCGCATCCATTCATTCGGCGCATGGTACCCGTAGTACAAATGAAGCAGTACCAAGATCTGGAGCGGACATTTGGGGCTCTCTTTGTTGATTGAGCAGCTGTCAAAGAAGTTGATGATGAATACGCCTAATTTTCTCAGTGGGCTGGTTCCTCCCAGCAGCTAGAATTCTGCGTCGGAACGAAATGCAAGGTTCTCGCATGGCAAGATTGAATGGCAAGATTCTCCTCGGCAAGGGTGGACCCCCCCTCCTCGCTGCGGGCTCCTCCTGACCACAGAGTTTCTGAGGACTGCAGCGAATCTCTGACCGAGCATCTCGAGACGAACATTTGTGTCGGTGCAGCCCACAAACGGGAACGCGATATTGCGTCGCTCCTTAAGCACAGACAAATAACGAAACGAGTTCGTGGGCAAACAAACACACTCCTGCTCGTGCCTCAGGACGGACTCTCGTTGCCCGACCGGAAATTTTCAACGTTCCACAAAAACGCGGTGCTCGTGATAGGCCACCAAGTCTCTTGGGAAGCCGATTGAGAAAGCGACCGCTCGTACGGGCGAGCCAACGGGGCCTCGGAATCGCTTCCGAACACGAAAGTTGCCCGTGTGGACCCTATGCAAATCGTTCGGCGTGCACATGCTTTGCGCAAGATTATGTTCCGAGCTCGACGTTGCTCGCGGCGGAGGAAGACTTTTTCCGGGCCTTGCATTCTCCTCCGGGTCCATGCCCCTCGAGAATTCGTGCATCTTTTTCCTTCTTCCGCCAATCCCGCTCGAGCGGAGTGAGCTCTCTGACCCTCTCTGGTCGTCGAGAAGGTTGGAATCGAGTTCGTGAGAAATGTAGAGCTCATCCTGGAAAAAGTCACAGCTCCCCGACTCCGTGCAGCAAGAAACAGGTCTATCCAAGGATTCGTTCCGTTTTTTTCTGTTCCTCCGACTCCCTGCGAATATCGGGGAACCCGTCGAGTCCGTGAGGAGGCGCCTGTCGGCGCCGATACAGAGATTGACAGGTCCCGGAACGAAGACTTTCTCTACTTCCGATCCGTAGCAACCTTCGCCTCTCGTATCAATCAGTTCGTGATCCGTCCCTCGGGGGTTGGACGTTCTCGTTGTCTCGATGCATGAGGTAATCAAACCAGAACTGCTGGTAGCACACCTTTCACGGATAAATCGTCTAATCCCCTGAGGGATATTCTTCTTCATCGAGAAGATATTCCCCGTCCCGTCGAGGGTCGAGATCCCTTGCCTTCGGCGAGTACCTGGCGGCCTATACGTGGAAACTTCCCCTATACGATATTCATCACGTATCCGCTCCGAGTCAAAGACTCGCGCTGCAGATTGAACAATTGAACCTCCCGTCAAATTGAACGAAAACGTCGGCGAGCCTCTCTATGAGCTGCTCTGCTTCGGAGCATATTCAGAGCCTTCCTGTTTCAGGTGTCTGCCGTCCACCGCACCGAATCGCAAATCAAAACTTCGGGAACGCACCCGGAATTCAAAACAATCATTGAGCTCAATGGCGACAACAATAAGCCTCCGGATTTCCAAATGCGCCCGGACAGCCTATCGATGGCTTCGTCTGAACCACAGTTACGCGCGGCTATACTCAAAAGACCGCTATCAGAGTTCCCGACTCGTTTCCCCCCGATGTCGCCCCCTAATTTACCCAATAGGATGTCGACTGGCTTCGATGCCAACATGAGTTCTTCGTATCACTTCAGCACTTCGCGGAGCCGTTTTCAGTACTGCGGTGAGTCGCAAAGCGCGGTATCGTTCCTCGAACGGGTCCGTGAATTTCGCAGCTTTTCCCCATTAGACATTAAACCGCAGGAGTCCGCTGATTTATTGCCCCGCGTAATCGAGAGAACGTTACCAGCAGAGAACGTACATGCTTCAATTTTTTTCGCCATTCCTAGTACGCAATGCGAACGCCTTCCCAAGTTTGGGATGCGAGTATTCACTATAATCTTGGCACGGGTCCACTGCTCTATACCGGAATAGCGATCCCAGTGGTCACAGGTTCTGATGCATGCGACATTTGTGTTTTCTGGACTCAGAGAATAATTCAATCGATCCCTCCCACCTCATCAACGCATCTGGGAAGCTTCGAGTCTATGTGAATCCTAAGAAGAGAATTCCGCGAGCATCTCCATGAGCCAATCTGCGATGATGATCCTTAGTCTCATTTAGTTTTTTCAAAACCTAATTGCCTAGTGTTTTCTGTGAATCTAATAGCTCTTCGGTCTCCCGCAGGTGAGACAAACACTTTCAAGTTCTCTACGGAACATGTTTCATCGTCGTTCTCCGAGCAGGGTTATGAGAGCGTAAGTGAAAGCGAAGATGAAGAATCTGTGGACGTCGATTCGGCGTCGGAAACCTCATCACAAACGGAAAGGAGTGAACTCGGTTCGCAATCCACCGTTTCGAACGCGCCTCGCAGCGAATCCTGCGCCACTCTCAACGCGGCCGAGGTAAGGCCTCATCCTTCATCAAGCCAGAATGATCTCAGAATTATTCAATCAGTCTTGAAATAGACATATGGATCAAGCATTCGGACTTATTATCTCGAAAACATGTCGGGAAACGTGTCAGGCCAACTTTTCGCACGGGACGCGCGACCGATGGAATAACCAATGCCGCCGCACTGCTGATAGTACCCGGCGACTTTGCATCGAATTCTTCAGCGCCCACCGGACCCAGAATTCACAGACTGTGTGCTGAACGGCCGAATGCCGCCCACCGGTTTACTTCGATTATTATTGACGTCGATGCAGGCTTCTGAAGGATCGTTGAGATTTTAAGCGAGGAATCCGATGCCGAGCTCCTGATCGTCGAGGCTTGCTTTTGAGCTTGACTACCTTGGACGACTGAAGTATTTTGGAGCCCTTCGAAATTAGTGGCGGATAAAGTTCCGGGAGCGGAAGTACTAAGTGTTGTCGAGGTCGACCAGCGCGTACCCAAGTCCCGTAATAAAGGAAGAAGACAACGAGCGAAAATATGTGATTACGACGAACGACTTTCTAGAGATGTTCCAGTTTCACCCAGGCTTCGCTTTACGTCGGGCGATCAACTGTAGGCTGTTTCTTTGAGTGGGTTGAGCGTTGCAAGAAGCCAGTTGCATCTAATTCGCTCGATTGTTGATGATTCCATCGACGTAAGCTGTGGGCTTCGCTTCCAGCATCGCACACGCGGATATCGACGTTTCAACCGTCGCGCGGTAGCCCTCCTCGGGTCTTTCGTTATCGTCGCCGTAGTCCATGCAGCGCGGAACGGGAGTCGCGAAAATTTCTCACATGCTGTAGTCCTCGTTCTATGGACAGTGAATTGAGTTACGAGAGTGGTTCATGAACTCACGTCTCTCTTGCGTTTGTTTTTCAGAATCAACAGAAAACGCAGAACGCTCTGAGAGAAATAGCCTACGAACTTCTCTCGACAGAGAGAACATATGTCTCAATTTTAACGCTTCTCGATCAGGTACGCCTCACGGAATCGAGATCTCTGAATTCTCCCATTCTTGTTCCGGTGTCGCTAGAATGATCTTCGAACTTGCGAGAGTCTTATCCGGATGCTCGTACACGTTCCAGGTGTTTCACTTTCGGGTCGACCAAGAGAATCGAGCAGCTCCGATGTTCTCGCAGGAGGTCATCACCCAGATGTTCTCAAACCTCAAGTCGCTGTTCAAGTTGCACAACGACTTCGTGCTCCCGAAGTTAGAGGAGCGGCTTCAAAATTGGTAAGTTCATAGATTCCCCCGAAAGGAGGCATGAAAGCTTGCGCTAAAGGAGCTCCATAACGGGAGGGGAACAGGGCAGGGAAGAAGGGAGTTTAGGCCCTGGTTTAGACACCCTCGAGAGGGAGAGCGACTCCTCCCGACCTGAGTCTGGAGTAGGATTGATTCAGGGGTCTGCTTGGGAATTTATTCGATCCGTTCGTCCAAGACCCAAGCTCCGGGCCGGGGCTCGGATGCTCTGGGCGGGAATTCGCGCTCATGTAGGTGCTTATTAAGTCAGCCACCAGCAGCGTCGTTGTTCGCGTACGTGTGGGACATTCCAATTGAGCCTTTCAATCGCACCCACATCGAATCCCCTATATTTTCATTGTTCTGCAACTTATTCGCCGGGCCTCAGCGATTAGAAACTCCGGCTCAATCAATTCGATCGAGAACAGAGCCGGGGAACCAATCGGACACTATCGAAGCCGATCACGATTGGAACATCTTCGCTCGCTAATCCGGTATTTCCAACCACAGGGAAAACAATCCACGCATCGGTGATCTCATGCGTGAGCTGGCTCCCTTTCTGAAGATGTACACCGAATACGTCAAAAACTATGACACTGCCATGCACCTCATTGGAACCTGGTACCAAAAACAGCCTCGCTTCGCAGCCATAATGGATGATGTTCACGTGAGTTTCGGAGATTTCCGTTCACGGAATTTCCTCAAATCATTCCAATCATGGTCGGTGCACCCTGGATGTTGAGGTGTGCATATATAAACACGATAATTAAGACTTCCCAAGGTCCTCGCGGAGATCCCAGTCCGTCTTCATTCAGGTGCATCTCATATTTCAGAGTATGCCAGAGTGCGGGAAACTCCAGGTTTCTCATCACATGTTAACGCCTGTTCAGAGAATTCCGCGGTACGAGCTCTTGCTGAAAGAGTATTTGAAGAAACTGCCCGACGATTCCCCGGATCGAGAAGACACAGAAAGTAAGGAGACTAAGCGCTTACACGTCCCTCGCATCATATTTATCACCATTATCTATCGATACATCAAATTAGCTAACTTTGTCAGACTGCGACACGTCCGACAGTGAGCTTCTCCCTCCATCCGAGTCGCACCCCGGGGACTCCAATCGAATTTTTCTCCATTTGCAGAGGCTCTCGAACTTGTTGCGACGGCAGCCCATCACGCAAACGAAGCGATGAAGAAAATTCACAAATTCAAGAAATTGTTGGAGATTCAAGATCTTGTTGGGGGTGTCATCGACCTCGTGAGTCCGTCGAGGGAGTTGCTCAAGGATGGGAAAATAAACAAAATATCTGCTCGGAGCGGTGATACGCAGGAAAGACATTTATTTGTGGTGAGTACAATCGACACCGGATCATCCAGATAAAATACGAATAGCCCTTGCTCAATTCGACGGCTAATTGATAGGGGCAGTAAGGACAACATCATACTTGGCGATGAGATTTCCCGGGAGAGAGTGAAAGAGGGAGCTCCATAGCTCGAACGTAAACCTCGGTCGATCCCTCCAAATCTCATCCATGTCCCGGGGATTTGGAGCCGATGTCCGTCGTTTATTCGCTTTTGAATGAGGAACATCCAGATGTCCCTCAATAAATATTTGTCGCCCTAACCACAATCGCTTGCTAAACGGAAGCTTTTGCAGTTTAACGACTTACTCGTACTGTGCAGTCAGAGACTGATTTCACAGCGAGTTGTATCAGGCCCTCTATATCGAGTAAGAGCCCGTCTCGAGATGGATGGTCTCATAGTCGAAGAGGGGGACAACTTGGAAACGCCCAATTCGTTCTACGTTCGGAACACCGGCAGGAGTATCGAGCTCTGCACACAGTGAGTACGGTTTCCATCACCTTCATAATTCGGTGACGTTAGAGTCTATCGAATGTCAAGGGTCATTCTTCATCTTCCGGATGTCTGGCAGCGATTCGATTAGGCTCGGCACATCAATGGGAAATGAGAAAAAAAAATCGCTGCTCCTGAACCTTTCCCCCTCGAGGCGACGTCGCTCACTCGTCCTCTTTTCAGGAACTCGGATGAAAAGCTTGAATGGATGCAAGTGTTGGCGAAGGCCGTCCACGATTTGGCTCAGAAGAAGAGCTCACTCAAGGTGCAGAGAGATTCGGAGGAGTGTGATGTGAAGGTACTAACCGTGCTTGACGTCGGACACTTGAGCCTTCCTAATTTCCTTCCAAATCAGTCCCGAGTGTCCCGTGTTCAGCTGCTTTACGCTCATCGTGCTGTGATATTAGGCTTCGACAGCTTCGCTTCCGGGTGCGGCGCTTGTTGCCCTCCCTCTTTCCCCCTTAGATGTCGATCCTCGACGAATATTCAGGGCAGCCCAAGATACTGCGGCGGAGCATTGATTGCGATATTCCGCGGAAAGCTGCGACGCTGAGACATTCTGCGGAGATTCGATGCATAGACATCGGAATCTTCCACCAATTGCCAGGAGAGCACAGAAATGATTCTCTCCCTCTGTTCGCTCCGCATAGGAGCCGGTACAGACTGTCGAACTGAGATTCCAATTACGTGCGCGTAGGGACCCATCCAACTCTTCGGGGTATTATTCGCGTGGGGTTTCGATTCGGAGTCAGCGGTAGGACCGAGAGGGGGCGCGACCGCCTCCGTGTCCACTTCGAGGTCAGGTATTGGGGGTCCGGTACCGGATCTCGATCGGCCTTCGCCCGAGGTGTCCGGAGACGGGGAGGGTGGTCAGGTCGATGTTGACAGAGGCCCGAATGGGTACCGCGGGCTTCCCGGAGGAAACCCAAACCTCGGAGAAGCCGGTCGCCGGTTTCGAAACAGCGACGTTTGGTAAGACGTCAATGTGATTGACGCAGAACGGCATGCTGTGTACAAAGCGCTACAACGACTCCTCCCTACGCCGACGCTCAAAAATCTCGAGAAGAGTCCTCGAGTTGTCTGTGGGGCGCAGTCTCGCGCTAAATCGCGGCCTCGGCAGGCGCATCCGTGCATTAGCCATATCCGTTCCCCTTTCTCGAAAAAAGGAATTTCGGCGTCCTGCCCCTAGGAGTGCTCGGCGAGCAATCGCCAACCCCAAGTCCAGAACGAGATCCATTTGCATGTCATAGCGTTTTCGCTCATTTTTCTCGCTCTTTCGTTTTCGATACATTGTCCAAAGACCTTGAGATTTGGCATTTCCGCCTCGCTCTGTGAATCTGATTGCTTCGATCGGATGATCACGAGGAGGAGGAGTCGAGATGAATTGCCGTCGAGTGAGCGTGGCTTCCGATAAACGTCTCGAATGGATTCTGACTGAAAATTTCTCCTGACGTGATCCACAGAGTCCGGATAGTTCCGAGTTGGGACTCGTCGCCCCACGCTTGGTGAAAAGCGATTCTGTGAGTCACTGCATGAACTGTGCGACGCCGTTCTCAGCGTTCGGGAGATGGAAACACCACTGCCACGCTTGCGGAATTGTGAGTATGATTATTCCCTTTTATGATCATCGAAATTGGAATCAGAGTCGGAGACCGATGTTGTCGATCGACATCGAATCAAAAGTTGTATTGGAAATTCGTCCCGTCTCATTCAGATGAGGTATTCCAGCGACGGGATTCTCTCCCGTCGAGCATCCCCGAAAACCACGATTCTACTCATTCTTATCTCTTCAGGTTGCGTGCAGAAAATGCCTCTCCAAGAAAATGCGTCTCGCCTACGACTCGTCCCGAGTTCTGCGAGTTTGTGATCGCTGCCATAAGCTGCTCATACAGAGTGGCCAGCTGTCGCATGCCAATGACGAGAACAACGAGAAATCACAATTCAAATCGCCGCCTGACTCTCCGGTACGATACATCGACAGCATCGGCGTCTGTCGAGAACGCTGAACTACGCTCAACAATATTCTTGTCAATTGCAATCGAGTCATCTGCCTGTGTGAAGTCCTATCTCGAGCTCTGGACAATTGTTTATCCTTGAGGGTTCTTCGCAGGTGCTGCCTCACGCCGACAAGGCAGTCATTAGCGGATACTTGAAATTACGAACGAACGGACGATCGACCTGGTCGAGGAGATGGTTCGCGCTGCAGCCTGACTTCGTCTTGTACTCCTATAAGTCACAAGAGGTCGGTTCAGGAGAAGAACCGGCTCGGGAGTAATCCTTATACGAATTCTCGGATTTTCTCATCGAGTAACCACAACTGCGAATTTACCCATGTCACGACTTGAGTCGAGCTGAGCGTTCTTCCTTTCCCCAGGACAAGTTGCCGTTAACCTCTACGCCGGTACCAGGCTTCTTGGTATCCCTGCTCGAAAAAGGGGATGCAGTGGACCCGAAAATTCCTCACACATTCAAACTGTTCCACGTAAAGAAGTCCTACTACTTCCAAGCGAATGACGGTGACGAGCAGAAAAAGTACGTACTAACGAAAAATCCTAACCTCATCATACCCGCATTGTCCAGGATAGCTCATTGTTTGATCGATCCCTCGCCAAGAGCGATTCCGGGATTTTGCCGCTCGCGAGCGATCGCTGCGACTAAGCGGATATCTTTCCCCAGGTGGATTAGTGCCCTGGACCAGGCCTCCCGCGCGGAAGACCTAGTTTAGTGAGAAGCAACATAATCAAAGGCCAGTCAGCCAGAAAGTCAGCCAACGTAGTCCGCAATGTTGCACTTGGAGCTGGACTTCGGCGTCAGTTTACTATACGATTAAAAGAATACCCCGTGAAGTGCAGCTCTCGGGACAGCGCTGGAGCGAGTCCGCATGAGGAATTGGGGTGAGGAAGGCGGAATGCTGGAAAGTCTGACTGAATCGGGAGAATACTTGTAACAAGAGCAAGTGCTGATCAAAAGGCACATTTCTCTCGATACTCTTCCAAATTCACCCTCGCCATCCGAGTGACCTCCAATTCGGAGAATGATATGCTGCCTCGACTCAGAGGTGCCAGCACGGAAATCATTGATCTTCGCTCCATTTCCCCGAAAGACGCAGACTGGCAGCTGAGATTGTTCGAGAATCTAGAACTAAGCGATGTGGTTGCTCCATTGTTGGCGTCACCGACTCCCAGTCGATGTAACCATGGTTTTGAGGGGCGTTAAAGATCATGCTGCCACAGGAACACCACTTTTTACTTGACCAACAGAACCTGGAGCTGCATCGTGCGGGGTTTCCCTTTTCAATAATTTATCGATGTTTTCGAAGTTGTCGGCAATCGCCTTGATATGACGATTTTTGTAAACCATAGATTCTTGAATTTGCTTGTCGAAACCATGAGTTGTTGCTCGTAGGAAGAATCGGCTCGAAATAGCCGAGCAGATTTGTCCTTTTTATTATTGCAAGAATATTTCTGCATTAGAGTGAACGGAAAAGAGGTCTGCTTCGCCACCAGGCTTTTAGAGGAGATGCGAAACCGCGGGTCACAAAACTGGACATATCATATCAGACAATTATTATTGAATTTAGGTGACACATTCTAGTATCGAAGATACACATATTTTTCTCAAGTTGAGTTCGCGATTGAGCGTTGGATTTACATTGAAGCGACTTTTTCGAGAAGTGTGTTCTGACTGAGACGATTCTCCCGGAAAGAGGCTTTAATCAAAGATTCGAAGGGAACGATATTCAAAGCATGGATTTCGATCACAGCGAAATGTCGGGTGAAACACAATCTTCTAGGGCCACCGAGTGTATGATTATAGTGAGAAGTGTAATTCATCAGTGATTTATTGGGAGCCATCAAGGGACTGATGGCAGGAGGACCGCGCTGCTAGATCAGAGTGCGATCGACATGGGAATGCACGTGTGAATGAAGAAAAATGGATGTTAGAAGGGAATTACCCCAGATAACGGATCCCACCCGAGAACGAATGCGTATCAGTGAAGCTGTGATCCGAATTTACGAATCAGATGATTTCGGGATCGAGAATCGAAAGCTGCCTACAGGCTCCGAATACTCGGTGCCGTCTTGGGTCCTATATTCGGGAAAGATCCCGAGCTCTCCACGACTATCGAGGATAAGCAAAAGGAAAATGTCGACGATTCCGTAGTTTCTGGCATTGAGCTCGTATGATCATCATCATCATATACATCATATACATAAACGAGAACTCGATAGAGTCCGGGATCGTGTGCTGAGCTTGAGTTGTGAGATCGTCGAGCTGTTTGAAGTTTAATTTGATGTTAAGGTGTCGAAATGATCCTCTAGTCGGAATTGTGTAGTGAGAATAAGAATTTAGGATGCAGCGGGAGCGAGACATAATAAGGGTGCGAACTTCGGCTCGCTCGCGAAATGGGCGACTGAAAGTCAGGGACATTCAAGCAAAACTGTAAATATCATAGATATTCACAGCAACAGGAATAAAAAACAAGTTTGAAGTATTGTTCGGATGTTAACTCCCGAGCAAAACTCGGAATTTAATGAGAGCACCTCCATCGAATGCAAGAGCGAGTCATTGACTTACTTGGCTGGGCCCTGATGCTTGGTGACCGCGGCTTTACGTTCGCCGTGGCATGGCATCCCAGCCAGGAACTCGCATGATCGTGCGACTTGCATATCATTCGCGAGCTGATTGGTGGTTTCCGCTCGCTGGAATGCTCATGATTACACTCCCACCCGCATTCCTCCTAATACTATTAAGAGGACGATGTTATTTTGTTATAATCTAACTTCAAGTGATTTCCATTTGCTTCAAAGTGAAAGTTTCGGAAACGTACACTCGTTAAAGGATCTTTTTCTACTCCGTTTTCTATCTATATTTCTTCAATTATCGCGAAGCATCGAGGATCGAAGTTTGGCAAGCGCCGCGGTCATCCACGGAGGTCTTCACGGCGCGGCGCCGAGGGAAACCTATGACAGGAGACCTCCTGATTACGGGGCCGGAAGCAATGCAGCCATGGTCAGATCTCCATGGAGAGGCATACAGTGACGTTTCCTCCATATGTATATGCACCTTCCTGGGCAGCCGCTGTACTGTAGCAAATCCCTCCGGTCGCGAACTCTGCGCCAGAAAAGGGCCATTAAAAAACGAACGGTTCAAATGTCAATCGGAGAGATTTTCTCATGTCAGGAGGACTCCGATTCGAAGAACAGAAGTCGAGTCAGAGGAGACATTGTTATTTCTTGGAGTTCTTAGACCTGTACATGTCTGAGCTGCCGGTCACCGTCGAGAAGACTGAGAGCAGTTCGACGTGGATGGAAGCACCTTACCAACAACAATGAAATTTCTCTATTCCGGAAGCATCGGTGCGGGGTTGAGGTTTGCTCGAATCTGATGACCTCTCATCCAACTTCCAAATCCCCGCAGTTGCATTGACGAATTTTGCAGCAGCAGAGGATATTTGGAAATCTCGAAAAACCTCTCGATACGCTCCGGCAAGTTCAGGGCAGCCATCGGAAGCCATGAGTGGGGTCGAGCGATTAAGGCTTCGGGGAACGGTACAGCTCCTCGCGGAATCAATCACTAATTTCCATGTATGAATATCTGAACGCGTAATTTATCACCACCCAGATAACACCAGCACATTTTACTATCTGACTAAGAAGTATTGCTCACACAAGCACATGGGACGTGGCGGAAGGCTTACCATGCGTGACCAAATATCGCTCGCAGAACGTTGTAGAATGTACGTTTCCCGTCGACGGCCGGCGGGCGCTTCTTCGGGCAAGGCCGGAGGGCCCTAAGTTGCTGTCAAACCTAACCAACCAGCCAGCCGTGTTCCTCGTAAGATAAGGATGATACGAACGAGGCCCTCGGGATCTCGAATGTCGGATAAGCTCGCATTGAATATAACGATATTTATTTCCCTGAGGGGAATATGATCTGATGATAAGTTTCCGATGAGAGTCCCGTCATTGGGGAAACTGTTTGACGCTGAAATCGCTGCGCAGACTCCGGTATCGGTGGATCGGCGTGGGAGTTCGTCCTTGGAATCGGATTCAAGCACAGAACACAGGGCTTGCGAAATGGAAAATACTAACGTGAGTCGGGCCTGCTTTATTGCCCTGAGTCTGAATTTCCACGGATTCGGTAATGATCATCCTGAGGATTAATCTCGATATCTAACACTGTGTTTGCAATTATTCAGGTATTTTGCCTTCGTTCCGGTCGATGCTTGACTAGACGCCCGCAGAAATTACACTTTGAAGTCGATATCGACGCCTCGGCTTTTCGCGATACAGCTGCTGCATGAGCTGCATATGCTGCGTGCGAACGATAACAAGGGAGTCATCCCGCAAGCAGTAGACTACGCATGATTCGCGGGCCCTGATGACCGGATCGCCTAGATTAGACTCTAGATGGATGCCTAGGAGAGCCATTGGCCGAGGGAAGCCAATGGAAGCTGGAAGGACTTTCGAGCCGAGACCAGCGACTCGATGCGCAAGGTCTCCGGCGCAGAACTCATCTCAGACTCTCATCTCGGTTCAGGGGTAGATAAGCAGGAATACCCTCCTCAGGTGTCAGCAGGAAGGATAGCGGAATCGATTCCGGAGAGATCTCCTCCTTCCGGAAACAGATGAAGGTCAAGAAGAGCTTCAAGGGAAAGCTTTTCGCCCGACGGAGGCGGCCTCGTGGAGATCCAAGTGGATCAAGTCGTCGGCATGCATGAAATGCACTATCTCCAGGATCGAATTCCCCTCCTGGTAATGAATTGCGATATGGAATGTTTTAGAGCGGGGGATTATATATTTCTAGGCGAACACCTTCCCCTCACAAGGTGATTGGAAAAATCTGCCTATCCTACCCTCAGCTGAAGGCCGATATAGAGGGAGGGATCCAACGTGATCTCAGGGCAGTGCTCCCGCTTCAGCCACCGTTCAACGCTGACGAGAAGTAGTGTCATCCTCCGTAAAGTACCGATAAGGCCTCGTGTAGATCGAGAGGCTCATTCGATCGCCTTTCCTCGTAGCTGGCTCCCCTCTGCTAGAACTCTGATCCGAGGATCCCCGTGAATCCCTCGGCGGATGCTGATCATCGGAACCTATTAAGGTCCGAGAGAGAATCGTCATGGACTCCTTCGCGGTCCACTGTGCCGGAACCTTCGTCTTCCACAAGGCGCGGGTCCCTGCCTTCTTCAGGACCCTCGGGGGGTTCCAGAGGATTCCGGCTAAATCGCACACTTCTGACCGTTTTGCTTGTTCGGCACAGCCCAGAGGTATCCTGTCCTTCCACCTTCGGATTGGCTCGTCGTAGATGACAGAGGGTTTGAAGTGCGCTCGATGGGAGCCGCTGTAGGTCCAGAGGTACAGCAGTCGGAAAATCCATAGAGAAAAGCGGACGAGTACGACACAGCCGCGCGAGGACAACTCGGAAGTGTGACGCGCGAGACGTTATTCTCCGTGGAAGATCGGGTTATTGACGTTCCATATTTCCGGGAAATGGACACGTAACCCGGGGGTACGGAAGCTTGCACAGGCGTCCGCACACAATCACCAACCCGTCCAAACGCATCGTGGACAGCTCGCCAACAACCGGAAATCTTTCGCAAACGCCCCTCGGTCCGTCGGTCGGCGCAAACTTGCGAGTTGGATCTTTCCGTCAATACGTCGAGCATACAAGCAGCTCTCAAATGTAACCAAGCACACAGGAGCCGTTCGAAAAGTTTTCCGT